CACATCTTATTAAACGCTTCAAAGATACACCAAAGCTAACATTATTAACTAACTTGCATTAAAGAGGATTATTTTATTTCATTTTAAACTAGGGCTACAACAGCAACCTATATTTCTGGTGCTTATAAAAATCTAAGAAAATTACAGTAGCATAGTACTACTCTAACTAGACTACCATAAAATTTTCATGGCGTTTGGATAAGTAAAATAGTCTACACAAAAATGACAAGCTATGGCATGATTATGAACATGAAAATACTTTGTACTGTGAAAAGTGTCCAACAACAGAATTAGTATTTTTCCTATGTTCTTCATAGCATACAATGACTGTACAAAATTTATCACATGCATGTTTTATACAAAGTTTGCTCTCTAGCTAAAATAACAAAAATCAGCCATTAAAGGTACTTGAACTACACCTCAAAATTTTCCCACAGCTCATGCATGAAACATATTTTTCCTAGGAAGTACATTACATAAGAAGATTAACAAACTTGGAATCATATTTTTCTGAAGCCTATAGATTTTTCTACACATTTTTCAAGTTATCCGCAATATACATGATTAAATAAAGTTCTACAGAAAAGTGTCTCAAAAATGACATGCAATAATTTTCCCAAGTAGATCTGGTGATAAGGAACCTAGCAAAATTTGTTTCAACAAATTTAGAGCAAAATGAGTACACAAACATTTTCCAAAGTTTTTAACAAAAATTTGAAAAAGCATCTTTTAAATCCTTTTAAAAGTCAGCCGACAAAAATACTGGGTGCACCCGGTGCTGTGCACTCAGATCCGATCTAGGGCGCTGACGAGCGGGCCCCCACGGTCAACGGCCCCACCCGTCCGGGTCGACCGAGATATAGGGCGGCGGCCCGATCAAGCCGACTCACCGACGGCGAAGCTAGCCGTGCGTGTGGGTCACCACCAGAGCTCACCCATGACGAGGCAAACACGGTGCACCAAGAGAAGGCACAGGAGGAGCTCGGGATAGGGCTCGACGGCGCGCATGGCGGAGCGGCGGCGCTGCTCCCGACGGCCGGCCATCTCCGGCCGGGAAGGGGCGTGAAAGGTGGTGCGGGAGCTTCACCGAGCTCGTGCGGTGGTCGTGCGCGCGAGAAGGTAGCTAGAAGAAGGACGGAGGGCGAGGTCCACGGAGCGGAGCGCTCCGGTGAGCTCGGCCACAACTCCGGCGAGAGATTCCCAGGGAGAGGGAGCTTCTCACGGCTTACCGAGGCGAGCACGAGGTGCGCGATGATGAGTCAGAGATGCGGGCGAGATGGAGGGTTCAATGGCGAGCTAGGACGGCCGAGCGAGCGAGCTCCGGCGAGGCGCGGCGCGCGGTGGCTATGGCGGGCGCGCGGTGAGAGGCAGAGAGGCAGCGCGGGAGAGGAGAAGTGAGGAGCGCTGGAATGCGGTGGGCGCGTGGGGATTCAAGTCATGGCCAGCCAGCAGGCGCCACTGCACTGGCCGCTGGAGCCAGTGCCAGGCCGCCGACGGGTGGCGCCACCACGCTGGCAAGGCAAGCCTCGACGCTGTCGGGGCGTGGCGCTTGGCTGACGGGCGCAGGGAGAAGAAGGAGCCATCTTGGGCTGGGCCGAGGCGAGGTGAGGTGAGGCGCTGGGGGCTTCATTGGGCAAGCCTTGACCATGGGCCAGAAGTGAGGTGGCGGCCCGCGAATGAGGAAAAAGCCTTTTTCATTTGTATTTTCAAGGAATTTTTAAATGCCATCTTTCAAATATTATTTTGAGCAAGAAAATGACATCTTTTGAAAATGTACCAAAAATGAAAGTTGCTTAGAATTTAATTTTCTACAACTTTGCTTTTATGACCACAACCAAATTCTTTCTAGATTTTGAATTGTAAGGTCAAAGTCCACGTTTAACTCAAAACCCTAATTTTTGGGAATTTATTTTTGAAACCAAATTTTGAATTAATTTGAATACAAACTTTGCTTCAAAAATTGAACTAAACATTGCTAGATGATTTACAATAGTAGCCAAACATGTTTCACTAACCTAGCAAGCAAAATCAGGACAGAACAACTCTTAAACAGGTGTATGCAACATTAAGGTTTCACACATGTTTCAAATGTTTCGAAGCAGTGTTTCAATTGTTATTTATATGATTAGGCATGTATGATTAGGATGCTTGATGATGCATGATATGTATGATTTGCAGTGACTAAATGCAGGCATAACACCGGGGTGTTACAGTGGATCTTGTGGTTGATGGAGAGGGGAGGCTGTGGATGGAGCGGATCTGGGCGATTTTGATTCCGCCGTGGGGAGGACAAGGAAGGGGAGGAGCGGGTCGGTGTCGGGGTCCTCCATTCCCTTATCCTTACAATAACATTACAGATAGAAGAGTGTCCCTCGTGACTTCTTAAATTTGACATTAGGGAAGATTAAATGTCCTTCTCTCTTGGATTGTGATTTATGAGTACAAGTTTGTCACTTACTTGCCCCAATTTGAAGTTGCAAACTGATACTGTTGAATCGCAAGCAGTCTACTTAGTTCCAAATTACAAGACGTTTTGATTTCTCTAGACGCAGCTTTTGTTATGCATTTAGATATACACAATGTCTAGATACATAGTAAAAATAATGTATGAAATAAGATAAAATGTCTTATAGTTTACAAGGGAGGAAGTATCTTCAAAAGTGAACAACATGATCATACAATGCCATAGAGAGTAGCCGCTAACCCTGGTTGGGTTTGTGTTTTTTATTTTTTTCTTTATTGTTTCTTATCAGAGCTCATGTGCTGGAATTTACAACATGGAGCAAGTTGAGCCTTTCTGTTACAATTTATACTCCCTTCATTCTAAATTCTAAATTGTTTATGTTTTGCTATGCATATAGAGATACATTATATCTATACCATAGCAAAATATGTGTATATAGAGAAGTCAAAATAATTTATAATTTGTAACAGAGGAAATAGTTTGTTTTAGAATAAGGTTGTTGTACCATGTATTTTTTTTAGATTATGGGAACCGAAGATTTTTCATAGTTCCTATCTGAGAGGAGCTTCTTCGCTGATCTTTGTGGCAATCTGCAAGCCATTAGAGTGGTGTCATTCGAATCTTTTTTTTTAAAGCCTCTCATCTGGTACAGCTATAATATCTATTTATGCACGAACACACGCCCACACTACACACGCACGCCCCACACACACCGCATGTGCACAACTAGATCTATAACTACACGCATATTAGAAGACCGCGTCCTTCTTGAGATCACCGGGACCATCCATGGTTCCGTAGGCGATGGACACATCGCAATCCCTTTGTGGCTCCACACGAGAAAGGCTGCAGATTATTTTTGGGAATAAATTCCGGTGAGAGACGTGAGTCGATTCTGGGAATCGAACTCATGCCGGCAGCGAGCACACCTGGCTGCGCTAACCACCCGAGCCACAATTAATTTTGCTTCTCCACAAAAACTAATATGGAAACTGTGCATTGAAAAATTTAGATCTACATGGGTGTTGATTGCACTCTCTTGTCTATAAACTATCTATAAAAACTATACATTGGGATTGTCCTAAGCTAAGGTATGCGTGGTGTTTCAGTACTTTTAGAGCCCAAGAGCAACAGAACCCAAAACATCAATGGAGATGTGGAGTCAATGGCGATTTGGATAGCTTGCCTGCATCTCCACGAGTAGAGAGCGAAGGCAGGAGTTTTGAAGATCAGAAAAGGTGAAGGACGGGTTAGAGAAACATATCCTTCCTTACTGACAGAAATAAAGATTTTGATGAAAAAAAATACTCTTCAACAGTTTTTTTAATTAGATCTCCAAATAATGTCATCCTTTATTCTAGATTTCTTGCTAGCAAAAAATGATGAAGTACTGGTTATGCATGCATGATTTGTCTGTATTATACATAGAAATGTGTTGCTGCGTGATTCTATCATCATTGGCAGTGGCATTTACGTTAAGTCTTTAGACTGAATCAGGAAGCCAAGGGGATTATTGGATGAACGTGAGCGATTGCGCCTTGATTGACACCCTACTTGCATTTGAATATTGAGTTAAATCACACTCCGACTCCCCAGTTTCTAGTTCCTCAGAGATCAATATATGATGACAGTCCCTAAATACTTTTAGCAAATAAACAAGAACTCTAGACAACCATTGGATGAAGAATTTTACAGAAATTCTGCAAGATTCTATCCGTAATAATTGTCCTGTAGAGATTCTTTAGAGAAAAAAAGGAATATATTTGTCAAAAATCATATGGATTGGGTTCGTGAGGACCAATCTCAAATGAAAAAAGGGCCTGAACCTCAATGTTTTGGCAGGTCCTTTTGACTCGTGCTTCAATTTTCTGAAATCCATGTACATAACCTCCAACATCTATGTTTTCTTTACAAAAGAAGAACGATGCAAATTCATCTAGTGGACAACCACTGGCAAAGAAACACACGTAGCTGTCACTAAGCGCTAACAAAATTCCAGGGCTTCAAGGCAGAACCTGGTCATATTCAGCTTGATGTCATTGCTTAACTCAACCACAAAAAGGGTTGTAACCTATACACACAGCCCCCATACGGCCATAAATCCATACCGAATTTTCGTGTGTGGCCAATTAAACTTTCCAATGAATCCTGATCAAGTTCAGCAATCAGCACAATGTGAAAACAACAAGCATCTAGTATATAGTGGGGGCAGGTACAAATCACAAATTGTTTTATGCCATCAAACATCTGAGGCACTGCATCACCCTACTTCTACTAAAAGAAACAGAAAGTTCATACAGCTCAACATAGAAACAGAGTTTTGCATCACACATTAACGCCCTCCTGACATTAACCCTCCAAAGACAGTCAGCCTTGTACATAATTATAAAGAACAAACAGTATCAAAGAGGCAGGTACTGACAGGATCCAAGGTGTCAGGTCTATCGCTCCGCCATTCCTATATAGGTTAAAAGGAAAGGTTAGGGAAACCAAAAAAAATTAAGTTCGCATACATGTTGACTATGACTATGCTTACTTGTTTTCCTTCATCTGAACCTCAAGCTGCTTAAGCAGGCGGTGGTGTTCATCCAAGCCCTCGGAAACCTTATCGATCTTCATTAGTAGTCGTTCATACACATCTTCCTTCCCGCTGATGCGACTCTTCTGTTCCATAGCGTCTCTTGAATGAGTACCCGAGGAGGGATATCTCTGCAGACGTACAAAGAATGGATTTGTGTCAAAATTCAGTTAACGGTGACCGCCATGTTTTGGTATGCAATGTTTTGGTATGCAGTCCCTCAGTTTCAGAATACAAATTATTCTGGTTAAGTTTCATAAACCGGAACAGCCGTCATTCTCTTCACCTTTACACCCATCTAGCGATTTCTATTGATTAAAAGGTCAAGATTCACAAAATCTTTCTTCACTTCAAATGATCAAGGTGAAGCACTTGCACATTCTGGTTCCACACTTGTCTGTTCAAGACCTTATAATCATGTGTTCATCTATGTCATTGCACCCATCAAGTCTTAATCAAGACAATAGTTTCATAGTATCTAATTTGAATTGCAATTGATCACAGGTGAAGAAAGGATATGATGTTAATTCAAGACCTAGCCACCACCTCCAGGCCCCAGCCTCCCTTCTTTTACGATGAACCCAGAGAACCTAACCCTAACCTTAAACCCAAACCTAACTCAATGGGCAGCAATGGCGGAAGAGTAAGACAACAAGAAGCTGACGTACAATTAAATTCGAATAAAGAACTTCGACAATTTCAGCCGAATCCAAGTACAGCAAACTAGCAAAGCCCCCAAAAGAACGAACTTTCTGTAGACAAGGCAGCAGGTGGACAATTTAGTGATTTATTGATTCATGACAGAGACGACTAGTTCCACAGATAAACACAACACACAATTAGACTCGCAAATCCAGGCCGTAATCCAGCAATCAATGGCGTTCAAATCAAGTCGCCCAACTTTACATGCCCTAACCAGTCAAGCCCCCAAGGGTCGGAAGCGGGCGTAGAGGATCGATTACCTCTGTGGGCACGGAACTGCTGAGGAATCGCCGCTCCATCAAGCACCGCTGCTGCTCCGGAGCTGCCGGAGCCGGAGCGAGCGGGCGACGGACCGGAGGATCGCCGCCGACGCCATGTGCAGGAGAAGTTGAGCCCGGAGTCCTGGAAAGGAGACGATCGATAGAGGGGAACCGCAGCGTTAGAGCCAGGCGTGGGCGTCTAGTGTCTCTGGAGGCCATAGGCTTGTATAAATCAGGGAGCCCAGACGGACGTCGGGCTCTGTGTGTTTGTCAGCCCAGCAAACTTGGGCCACTTTTGGCCCACCGCATGGGAAATGAGAATTTGTGCGGTTGTTCCTACTGTTCCTGTTGGATATGACACTAAATAAATATATTATGTTGCTAAAAAAACTAAATAAATATATTATAGTTTATGACGTAGCTAATGATACTAATAATAATATTATAAATCTTGGCACTTTTTTATAATTTAGTTAAGACGATTCTAAAAATTAATTTTATTTGGGGACGGAGCTAGTAGCCAATAAAAGTTGCACACTTCCTAAACTATAGGCGGCTGCTCTGCATGCTGATCCAAGGAGGAGGAGGATCCAAGAAAGATGAATACATGACTAGTAATCCCATGGCTGTACTGTGTTGCCAGAGAAGAAGAGAGAGCAAATCTCTAAGGGCTACTTTGGCAGCACCGATTCCCGCTGGGATCCCGGCGTCTTCCCGGGGCGAGAAACCCACGGGGCCACCTCCCCTGGGGTAATCTCCTATCGCGTTTGGAAGCTGAGGAGACGCGGAATCTCGCCCGCTTCCCTACGTTTTCCACGGGAGAGAAATCCACGAGGCAACAGGTCGGGGGCATTTCCCCGCCCCTCGACTCACGACGCTCCTCGTCTCTCACGATTGGCGTCGGGGAGACCATCGCCGCCGCCCGCCCGCGCGACTTCCACTTCGTCCGTCGCATCCGCCACCGACGCTTGAAGCCAGCAGGTCCGAGTGAGCCTGCCTTCCCCGCCACCACAGTCGGCAAGGCCTCCCGTCTTGGCGTGCTCTCCTTCCGCCTGTTCGCTTCTCCTCCGCCATTGCCTCGCTTCTCCACCGTCGTCGTAGCCTTTGCTCTTGGCTTCGATCCGGTGAGTCCACGCCCACTCGCATCTTCTTCACCACTAGGATTTCTCGATCCGCCATGGTTTCGCTTCAGCATCTCTGCAGTGTGACACCATTGTTTCTTTGTAGATCTTGGGGATGTTGTTCTCCGCATCCTTCTCTCCAATCTCGTGTGTGGACTGGAAAAGAGCCATGTCGGGGAGGTGGGGCTCGACCACTTTGGCTTCACCTGCACTGCCAGAGAACCAAGAAGGGTGAGCATAAGGTCTTGGACAACACCGTCAAGTTCATACCCAAGGTCAAGATGCGAGCATCTATCTGCATTTTCTTGTTTGCTTTGCTATTTATCCAAGATTACTTGTGATGGTTTTGATTTTTGAGGGATTACTCAAGATTTTCAGAGGCTGGCTGCCCATTTGCTACCTTTTACTTGAAACATCATTCATTCAGAAATAGTAGTTCCCCATCTAGAAATATTAGAATAAAAAAGTCATCACTGTAGGATCTTGATCATTCATTTATCTTCCATGGTATTATAAATTGCTACAAAATGGACATCATATATATATATATATATATATATATATATATATATATATATGGCTGCCCATTTGCTACCTTTTACTTGAAACATCATTCATTCAGAAATATAGTTCCCCATCTAGAAATATTAGAATAAAAAAGTCATCACTTTGAGGATCTTGATCATTCATTTATCTTCCATGGTATTATAAATTGCTACAAAATGGACATCATATATATATATATATATACATATATATATATATATATGCTTAGCCACTAATAATCCTCGACGATTTTGCTGATAATATAATCATGGATGGCTCATCTCGTCTAGAACATAATTGGGTATACCTACAAAGAACTGGGAGAATAATTGGGTATATCTACAATGTATGTAGTTATCTGTTTTATGGCTCTGTTTGTTCATCCAAAGAAATGAAGGAACTCTTGTTTATCGGTTTGGACAATGGTTTGCAAGTTTGGATTGACATTAAGTAAACTTCATGTTTTGCCTGTACAAGACATTTGTTGTTAATCGAATGATCTTGAATGACATGTGTTGTTAATCGAGTGATCCTTCATTAATCGAAGTTTTTCCTTTGTGTTTACTTGCGGTGCTCTTGGTTGAAGCAATGCATGATTAGAGGCACTTGAATTCAAGAGTGTTTCGATTCAGTTCATTCAACATTTAGCATAGTTTCAATGTTTTTCAATTATTGCTTTGCCTATCGTAACTATTAGCTTCATTGTTTGGTTTGTTTTCCTGCTTGTATAAAGAATTTTTTACCCGATCTAGACGATGCTCGTTTTAAAAAGTGCTTTAGTTAGATTGTATCGGTAGCATTAGTGCACCATCATGTGTCCAAAAGTCCGGTTTGTAGCCAGCAGACCGGTGGCGACCTCAGATTCTGTGGACATCGCTTGCTTGATGCAAACACTAGATCGAGCTTATATTAGGCAAAGACAAATGCCTTCCATTATCATTTACATATTACATATTAGTGTAGACTTATTTTGAACATCTTTTTTGTTGCACAATGATTGCCGTGTGGTCAAAATGCACTTTTGGTCATCATTGTTGGAGCAGATTAGTGTACACTTATTTTAGTGTTGGTAAAGTTAGTAACTTAGTATGAAGTATCAGATTCCTCTTTTTTTCTGTGCTGCCAGTCTAGCCGTGGTTGGTTTCTGAAGCTGTCCGGAAAAGTAGTTGAACCAACTATTTTACCTGTTTTATATAGCAAGTATTGTAGTTTCTTTAAAATAAGTAGTAGGCTCAAGGCATACCTAGAGGCACACACACCAGACCCGTGTTTATTTGGAGGAAATACCCAAGGCCCATGTTTGATTTTGCAATCGCAATCACACCCTCTCAAGGTTAGAGTGGTGAACCCCAAAGAATTTTTATTATTCATATCGATCTGTAGGTCCTTTTCTTATTCATATATATACTATAGTATTGTTATTGTTTTCGCTTTCTTTTAATTCTAGGAAGCACTAACTTTGTTGGGTGTGCATCGTCTCTGTTTTAATGATAATGCAAGACTAGGGTCTTAGGAATTGCTTCTAGTTATACGAGATACTTACTTGAGTATTTGACATACAACCCCAAAGACTATTGGCAATCGCATCGTCTCCACATGTTTCCTGAATCATCAGTAGATGGTGGAATGGTAGTGTGATGATGTAGCTTTATCATTACAGCTAGCTGCTCGTGAGATATCACCTCATGATTCGTAACACTACACTCGTTACGCTACATATTCTTGTAACTCACCATTTCCTTTGTGTTGCTTGTAGAGGACTTGGCGAAGCAACACATGATCGTGAGAAAAATAAGTTTGTTCCTTCTTCATCACAAGCATCTAAGAAAACGTTCAAGCTCATAACGAGATTTCGCTCCTCCTAATCATCAATTTTATATACATGCACCTACTATTTGTCCATTTTTTATGCTACATGCATCTATGTAATATAATATTGGTGTGTATGAACCGGAGGACCATAATTTATTCTTGTGTCGGGTTTTGGTCAAGAAATTGATATCCTGTTTTATTTTTTGTTATCTATCTAGATATGTGGATGGAGATGACTACTCGATATTTCTGTGGAAGCCACATATTAGCTTTGTTGGAAGATGATACTTGAATAGAACTTCTATATTAATAGACTAGCTTTGTTTGAGGTTTGAAATATCTATTTATTTGTATGGAAAGTCTTGTCCCCGACTTTTTTCATGATTTTGTGGATTTTTTTCCGATTATTTGAGACATACAAGACTTTGCTTCAATTGTGCGGTCATTTTACCAAACGCATTCTTGGATTGTTATATACTATACTATATAAAACAACAAATAGTGAAACTCTCCCGACAAAGATCCGCCAAACAACAAAGAGGGAAATTCTCCCATACGTGGATATCTCCCGTGGTGGAGGCGGGAATGAGAAATCCAAAAAAATCCACGTCGGGGGCAAACTTCTCGGGGCTAATTTGCCTCTGCTGCCAAAGTAGCCTTAAAAGTTATTAAGCGCCCTGTCCAAGCTAATTGTTCTGCTAATACTTAATAAAGAGTAATTTTGAGAGCATCTTTATATTTTTTTTTCTTATTAATAGGGATAGCGATTTTGGTGAAAAATACTTTCAATAGCTTTTTTTATTATATCTCTAAATTTTTCATCCTCTATTCTTTATTTCTCGCTAATAAAAAATAGAGAGTAGGGTTGACTCTCTGGCCCTTATCGCTTATCTTATAATCCGTTTTTTTCGACTTGTTTTTTCAGCCGGAACAGTGTTTTTCTCTCACAACAAATCAGTCGGAACAATATTTCGGCTTGTTTTTTCAGCGAAACGAACGAGGCCTCTAGAGTATGTATAAGACAGAGATTTTGGTTCAAAATATCTCTCCAAAATAATAATTTAAAGAGTAGGTTTAAGCATACCTGGGCATCGGGCCGGCCCGCCCCAAGACGGCATTGACGGGTCGTCTTAAGACGATGGCTACCGGGCCATGGAGGCACGCCAGTGCCTCAAGGGTCGCGTTGCATCGGGTTCAAGGGCACTGGCCTTGCCCGAGCACGGACACATGTAGGCCATTTTTCGTGTCGTCTTTGGCAGCGTGAGGCACGGCAAAAAAATAACAGGCCGTGCAAACCCACCCGTTAAATCTAAAACACCTCCAAATAAACATCTCAATCCATTCAAATATCAAAAAGAGTTGTTTTGTGCAATGTCATTGCCTCATTAAAAACCTACCTAGGTAAAACTCACCCTTGTGAGAAACCCTAGGCGAGGAAAAAAAGAGTGCACCAACTCCAAATGTCTTAATCTTACATAGTTATTACAGACCATTGTTCAAAGGTTCAAATGAAAACTAAGCAAGTGAGTGAGGGACACATCCACTCTCAACTCACACAAAAGTACTCCAACACTCCCACCAACCAATGCCACTTGTCACCACCAGGATCCATCATCTTCACCTTCCGGTTCATCCAGAGCATGATTCTCGAATGCATCTTCAATTTCCTTGGTATCGCAGACTTCATGTTGTTCCCTCTTCTCTCCTAGCTCCCACCTTCAACAAGGTCACATCTCAACATGTTCGGTTTCAAGCTCCGTGGCCGTTCTTCTAGGATCCTCCTGCTAAGTCAAACAAGACTCAAGAACAAGTGAAAACAGAATCGACATGATATCTCTCGGCCATAATAGCTGAGGATAGGATAGGTTAGTTTGTGGTCCTTCCACCACGTAAGAATGTCAAAACCATCCTCATAAGCAGTTATGCGATGCATTTGTCCAAATAGCTTGAAAGTTCGAAGCGGTAGAGTGAGAAGAAGAAGAGGCGATTGCCAATCTGGAAGGACCAGTGGACTGATCCTCCAAAAATTACCCCCAAGCTGTTTTCTCTTACCAAATTGGGTGGGTAGGACCAGCAACCCTTTGTGACCTGGTTGCACCAAACTTTCTCAAATATTTCTCAAACATTTTATGCAACTCGGTTTTCAAATCAGCATAGTAAGTAGTGTAATCAAGACCCAGATATTCATGAAGTAAATGGAGGACCCTTTGCATACCTCTCTCACTTAGCTCTAGGGTCAAGAATGAATGCAAATGAGTATAAGAGAGGAATGTCCTTCCAATACTTGAGAAATTTATCTTTGTATAGGGTACACAAAGGGTCTAAGATTAACATCTCTTTCACATGCATGCAAATGAGTTGCAATCTCCGAACATGGTGCAAAGCACAAGAGGATGGTAGGATAATAAACACCGAACGATTAAGGTAACAAGAGAGTCATAAAATACTTCAGAACTCCAATATTTTCCCGACCATGTGCCAATGGGTTGGAGACAACGATCTTGAAACCATAATTTGAATTTATGAACAGAAAAAATACTTCACCATAAGGAACCAAGTGTTTTAGCATGAGATAAGTAGCATTCCATCTAACATCCATGTCTAAGCCAAATTTTCTAGGTCTCATACCTTTAGCTTCACAAGTAGTTTCTAAACATAGCAATTCTTTGATTAGAGGAGTTCAAGAAATTAATTGCGTTC